CCTCTCCCTTCTAAGTATGACCTGAACCATTTGAGTACCATCGCAGAAAGCCCAACCCAGTTTTCCAGTCTCTCTAGTAGTATGTTATGATCAACAGTGTCAAACGCAACACTGAGATCTATTAGTACCAGCACTGATATTTTGCCAGAATCAGAGTTTAAGCGAATATCATTTATTATCTTTATGAGTGCTGTCTCTGTGCTGTGATGCGGTCGGAAACCAGATTGTCCAGGTATCCATTTGAGTTTAAGTAGTAGTTAAGCTGATTAAAAACAACCTTTTCAATAATCTTGCCTATAAAAGGTAGATTTGATGTTGGTCTGTAGTTACTCAGTATGGTGTTATCAAGATAGCTCTTTTTCAGGAGAGGCTTAACAACTGCAGTTTTCAGGGAGTTTGGAAAGTCCCAGAGAGAAGTAAGGCGTTCACCACTTCTAAGAGATCTGCTTCTAAACAGTTTAACACACTTTTGAAAAAAGATGTGGGAAGTGTGTCAAGGTCGCAGGTTGATGATTTAAGGTACAGTACAGTACTAAGGTACTGTACTATTTCTTCCAACATTTTGCTACCAATTGCTTCAAAAACAGACATAGTAACTGCTTTTTGAAATTGCGGTTGAATCTGTCTGACCTCTGCATAACTTGAGGATGTGCTAATCACCTTTCTAATATTACTGATTTTCTCAGAAATGAAGGAAGCAAACTCATTGCATTCGCTGTCGGAAAGCATTTCAACTTTTGAGTTAAAGGAACTTTTGAGTTAAAGGAATCAAGGAGAAGATCAACAGAGTCTGCAGAAATGCTTGGTGTTAAAGATATAGCCTTCATAAATAGCACACTATTGTTCTCGTTAATGCATCTCTTTCTGACAGAGACAGATCTAGATTCAGTGGTAGCAGAGATTAATATATCAAAGAAAATACAGAAGTGATCAGATAGTGCTACGTCCTTAATAACAATGGATGAAATGTTTAGACCTCTACTGATGAGTAAATCTAGAGTATGTCCTCGACTGTGTGTGGGTCCATGCACATGCTGAATCAGGTCAAAAGTGTTTAAAACAGTTGTAATTTATTTTGTAGTATTGATTTCTGCATTACCTATGTGAATATTAAAATCCCCTGCAATAGCACAACAGTCAAACTCTAAGGAAATCATTGATAACAGTTCTGTAAACTCTTCAACAAAGGCTGGAAAGTATAATGGAGGCTTGTAAATAATGATAAACAGAATGCGTGCAGTACCTTTCAGAACAATACCTAGATATTCAAAAGACAAGTACTGACCAAATGACAGTTGCTTGCATTGATTGATAGACATCTTTAAATAGAGCAGCTACACCTCCACCTCTCCTAACAGTCCTGCAGACACTCATGAAAGTAAAATTTAAAAACATAAAATCCAAGTTGTTTGTGGTTATTAAGTCATTGATCAGAAATGATTTATTTTTTAGTGAGCGGATGTTTAAAAATGTTAGCTTTATGGCATTGGTTTTTGTCTCAACAGAAATCATAGTTTGACGCATAACAGGCCGCAGATTAGACAAGTCAGCCGTACGGCTTGAGAAGGCCTTAGACTTTCTATCACGTGATAAAACAGAAATAGAGAAAGCTGCAGGCACACTATCATAGCGGGGACCCGACACATATCACTGAGACCAGCTATCAGTTGTTTTTGGTTCACCTACAGCAGATGGAGGAGGGTTTGGGCCCTGGCGTTGTGGCAGCGGCCGGAGAGCTCTCACTGGAGGAGGAGGACAAGCTGGGCCCACAGGCTTTGGTAGTTGTGGGGCCCGCCGTTTTTTAGTTGATAATTGGGGGCTTGTAGCAAAAGAGTGGGAGAGTCTGGTCCCAGCATAAACCAGTTCCTCCATTTTCTGTGAGAAGCTTAGAAGTGGAGATGCTGGAGAGAGGGATAATGTGTCTGGTGAGCGGGGCTGTGGCTCTGCTGTTTCTAGTGGCTGAAATATGTTGTCCTGGCTTCCCTGGCTGTTTTCCAGAAAGTCGTCCTTGGGTGCTGAGTCTTGGAGCTGTTCTGATACGTCACAGTCTGTCTGTGATGAGCTCTGTGGGCAGGGCTCAGCCGTGATGGTGTCCATGAGCAGTGCTTGTTGTGGCTGCGTGGTGTTATCAGTGTCCTTGTGGGATGTGTCAACCACATGATGACTCGGAAGCTGATATGAAGTCCTGTCGTCGCTCATATTCTGTTCAGGTGTGTGTGCGCCATTCAGGTTGAGTAGTTTGGCATACACTACTGAAGGATGACGGATGGAGAAGTAGATATTGTCCTTAAGCACTCTTGCACCAAGTTTGTTTGAGTGGAGACCATCCGGTTTAAACAGTTGTTTATGGCCCCAGAAAAGATTGAAGTTGTCGAGGAAGTTCACTCCTTTTATATTGCAGGATCTTTGTAGCCATGTGTTCAACCCAAGCAACCGTGGAAACATGTTAGTTCCCCTTGATGGGAGTGGTCCACTGATGAACGACTGAACTTTGAGTCTTCGAAGTGTTTCTCTGACTGCTCTTTCCAAATATCCTTCTTCCCCACATGGATGATGATTTGATTTGCAGACTTGTGCTTCATTAGAATGTTCCGAAGTTCCTTGTTCATATCAGAAACTGTTGCTTGAGGAAGGCAGCATGTTGCTGTATTTCTGCTACTGATGTTTCTAATAATTGAGTCGCCCACTATCAGAGTCCTGGGCTCGGCTGCGCTCTGAGCTGAACGCCGCTGTCTGCTCGACCTTGAGCATCTGTTAGTAGCGATGTTAGCTGCTGGCTGATCCGATCCATGTTTAATCACATTTGGGGATTCCTCACCCGCATTCATTAATGCTTCAAATCTGTTCTCAAGATGTATAAGGGGTGGTAGAATACCAGTGTTTGCAAGCCTTGTCATAGCCGAATCTGGGGTAGAGGATGCTACGGCAGCAATACAAGATACCCGTGACAATCTGATGCCTTTGGGTCTCACTCCCTGTTTGTGCCATCGATTAGTGTGACGATCAGTTTCATCTTGTTCCTCTACACTTGGTATAAACTGTTGAGATTCACTAGATTCATGGGACTCACCGGCTGTA